GGCCTTCGCCGTGCTGGAGAAAGAGACGGAGTTAGGTATGGTGCCGGAGCGCCTTCCTCAGCAGTGTGCTGGGGGTCACCTGGCGGCAGTCTGTCAAAAACCTGTACTCGAAGCGCACATCACTCAAGCCTCAGTGTTTCATGGCGCACATGTAAGGGGAAGCTCCGTTTTTGGGTGGGAGAGCATCTGCCCTCGTCACGGGTTCCCCCTGGGAAGAACATCGTCGTTCTGGGCTTTGCCCTGACGGGAGGTTTCTTCCTCCCTTGGCTCAGGGACGTGTCCTTCAGCGGAGAAGCGGAGCTGTCACCAGCCTGTGCTTCACTGCTGATCCTTCAAGTTGGGACTTTAAGTTAAAGGCTGAATGTCGTCGCTTTGGTGTTTGAAAGCGGCAGGTCTCACTGGCCTGGGGCTCCAGCAGCAGCAGCAGGGATTTCGGGGGATAGGACAAGGTGAATGACTCCAGTAAGGAGCAGTGTGGGTCGCAGAGGGGCGAGGGCAGGTCTGGTTTAGTGCCAGACGGAGCGGGACGCAGAGAGGATCAGCTGGGAAATGGTGCCAGGATGGCTTAGCGGTGGGGCACGAGGAGAAGAGTGAAGAGCAGAGGGTGATGGTTGGAGGGTAGAGAGGGAGATGCAGAGCTGCTTGAAAATGTCTGGGAGCTGCTGGTCTGGGCAAAGTCTATACCTGGTAATTAATTGCCAGAACTGTAAACCGCAGCCATTTGCCCCGTGTTTCTGGATATCCCTGTAGGTGCCATGCAAGGCGCTGTCATTTGCATGGCAGGTTGAAGGCAAAGAACTGACGCAGGGATGACCGGGAAGATATGGCTAGTTGCTGACCCAGCACTAGCCAGGGTAAAATGGCGCAGCTCCCAGTGTTGCCTGCTGACACAGGGGATCTTGAGGCACTCTGCACCTGGGCTTTAAAATAAGAAAGAGCGAGTCCTGGTGCTTCATTGTTTGAAAGCTTTTCTGGTGCTCTCAAGTACCAGCGCAGGTTCATCATAAGCAGTCTCTTCACACCGAGTGCTTTTGCGCATACCCAGTCGCTCAGGGTAGGCAGGAGCAACCCCAAGCCATCGTGTCAGTGGCTAACTCAAAGGAGGATGCTTGAGCCCAAGCTCTCGCTCTAATAGCTCCACCAGCCAGGCTGTACCTTGCTCTTCAGATGTTACGGGTATGATATGAAGTGGCATTTTATCCCCAAGACGAGACATGCATGAAGTCCTTAACAGATGTGTGAGTGCAAAGCGGGAATGGCCTTTGGGAGTCAGTATTTTAAGAGGGAGAACATGCCCAAATTACTTCAGTGAAAATGTTTGTGATACTTTTTGTGATGTCAATGGCTCGATGTCCAAGTGGAGACGAGTGACAAGTGGCATTCCTCAGGGGTTTGTACCGGGACCTGTACTGTTCAACATCTTTGTTGGTGACATGGACAGTGGGGTTGAGCGCACCCTCAAGCAAGTTTGCCGATGATACCAAGCTGTTTGGTGAGGTAGACACACTGGAGGGAAGGGATGCCATCCAGAGGGACCTGGACAGGCTGGAGAGGTGGGCCTAAGCCAACCTCATGCAGTTCAGCAAGGCCAAGTGGAAGGTCCTACATCTGGGTCAGGGCAATCCCAAGCACAAATACAGGCTCGGCGGGCAATGGCTGGAGAGCAGCCCTGAAGAGAAGGACCTGGGTGTGCTGATTGATGAGAAGCTCAGCATGAGCCAGCAATGTGCAATCGCAGCCCAGAAGGCCAACCTTATCCTGGGCTGCATCAAAAGTGTGGCCAGCAGGTCAAAGGAGGTGATTCTGCCCCTCTACTCCACTCTCATGAGACCCCACCTGGAGTACTGCATCCCGCTCTGGAGTCCCCAACATAAGAAGGACATGGACCCGCTGGAGCGTGTCCAGAGGAGAGCCACGAGGATGATCTGAGGGCTGGAGCACCTCTCCTATGAGGAGAGGCTGAGAGAGTTGGGGCCGTTCAGCCTGGAGAAGAGAAGGCTCCGGGGAGACCTTATTGCCGCCTTCCAGTACCTAAAGGGGCTACAGGAGAGCTGGGGAGGGACTTTTTACTAGTGATAGGATGAGGGGGAATGGCTTCAAACTGGAAGAGGGCAGGTTTAGATTAAACATTAAGAAGAAAGTTACCGCGTTGATGGTGCTGAGGCACTGGAACATGTTGCCCAGAGAAGTTATTGAGGCCCCATCCCTGGAGGTGTTCCAACCTAAACCATTCTATGATTCTGTGATTTCTCACCTCTATTTTACTTAGTTACAAAGAGGAAATAGCAACCTAATCCAGTTCACAGATACTTGCAAAGCCTACCAGGTCTGCCGGCGCGTCCAAAGAAATGGAGGATTACACAGACATTACGTTAAATGAGGCCTTTAAGGATGCCTTTCGTTTTAAAAATTGAATATCTTAAAATTAATTTTAACATGTAGAAAGTTTTGATCAATTGTCCTGCAGTTGTAGCTCTTGGAGGAAAAACTTGTGATTTTTCTTCCTTTTCTTTTTTTTTCTTTCCCCTGTTGATTCAACACGTTGCAAGCTGTGATCGTTTATTATTAACTAGGTCTTGCTGTGTCAGTATTTTTCTAGCCTGTTGATACCAAGGGAGGAATTGTGTTTGCTGTGCAGTTACTTTATTTGAGCATCTCTTATTGTAACACTGATTTAGGGCAGGACCTCAAATTGCTTGCTCTTCTGACAGCTGAAGTAGTTAAAGTGTGAACCTTAATCACAGGAACATGTATTTTAATAACGTGTTTTTCTTTCTATTTAGCTCATCACCAGAGTGGACATAACAGTGGTGTGATTCACAGTGGGATTTACTACAAACCCGGATCTCTGAAAGCCAAGCTGGGTGTGCAGGGTGCAGCCCTCTGCTACAAGTACTGTGACCAGAAGGGAATACCGTACAAACAGTGTGGGAAGGTATAGGAACTGCTGTGTGTTCGTACTTTACCTTTGGAAACTGAGGCTGTATAATGTAGGTTACAATGTATAGCATGGGCCTGCTTGTGGTCTTGAGAGAAAGACATGAGTTTCTGCAACACGTCTACCTTCAGGATGAATGTGCCTTTTTGTTTTCTTCTTTTCAGCAACTCAAATCAGTTCTTTTTTCTGGGCCTAAATAATAATTCTCCTTATCTGGGGGCTGAGCTGAAATAGCCCAGGTAGTGGTGGAAGCCCGGCCCCGTGGAGGGGCACCTCTGTAATTCCAGGGAACACAAAGGCTCTCAGTATGTGCGTGCCATACTTCTTGGCATTGCAGGCTCCGAAAAGACTCCATGCCTTGAAAACGGCTCCAGACATTACCCAGCTACATGTATTTATGCCATGTTACATCCAGTTAATTCAACCTGAAATGCTGAGAACAGAAGAGTGGCTGTACTGATTCAGTTTGAGGTCTGCCCAACACTATATCCTATTTCTGGAAGTGTCTATAAACAGAGACCCAGGAAGGAATGAGAACAGGACAAGCAAATTATTAATTCTCCCAGCTTCCAACTATTTTCAGCTGAAGTTTTTTTCCTGAGCCTGATCTGCTTTGTCTGTAGTGACTCTCAATAGATTTCTCTTCCAAGTGTTTTTCAATTAAAAGCTTTTTCATCAGAGCATCCTTTGAGCAGTGGCAGAGAGCAACAACCTGCTGTGTGAATCACAGAATCTCCTAGACTGGAAACGACCTGTAAGAGTTACATCATTTTGAAACTGGCTCCTACAAGCTTCATCTCATGGTCCCTAGCCCTTGTGTTGGAAGAGGTGGTGAACAGTTGATCTGTGCTCACACTGTCCAAGCTGCATATAATTTTATATCCCCTCCTCCCCCAAAGTCATCCTTTCCAGCTGGTGAGTCTTAATCTGCTCAGTCATTCTTCTTAGAGAAGGTTTTTCATACTCTCTCCACCTTGTCTTCGTTCTCTGAACTGTTTCTAGTTTAATGCATCTTTGATACAAGATGAGGACCACAACTGCACGCAGCATTCAAGGTGTGGACAGATCCTGGATTTTTGCAGTGAAATAGAGTTCTCTGTGTTGTCCCGTATCCTTTTCCTAGTTGTTCCTAACATTCAATTTAGGGGTTTTCAGCCGTTGCTAGGAATTGAACTGATGTTTCTGTAGGATTGTCTATCCTAACCCTATGATCTTGGTCCTAAGTGATAACTTTGAATTTGGATCCTGTCATTTTATACATGAGGCTACGACTGCTTTTTCTGTGATAATCATTTCACATTTTTCTGCATTGAATTCCATCTGCCATTTTGTTAGTCGCTCGTTCACTTTGGAAGGTCCCTCTGCAGTTCTTTACAGTCAGCTCTTGTCTGAACCACCTTGAGTCACCTTAAAGGATCATCTGCCTTTCTCACCTCCTTGCCCCTTTTCGGGTTGCTCATAAATATCTTGGAGAGCGTGAACCTTTCTCTTAAAAGTGCAATGCTGAGGTGACAAGTGGCCTTTCAGGGTCCCCCCAGCTCAGCACCCACTGGAGCTGGGTGCAGATCTCTCCCAGCCCTGGACTGCAGAGCACAGCGCCCTGCGTGTGGCAGCGTGGATGGGCCCTGCACCAGGGCAGTGGTGGTCGTGGTAGCCTGGCTGGTTTCGTCCTGTGCTCCCTCTGCTGCAGCGCCGGTCGCAAGATGGCACTGTGGATTTGCTCAGCAATACACCTGAACTTACAAGCCTGCTCTCAACTCAAAGCACCGGGACAGCGGCCCTGTTCTGTAGGAGTCGGTTTGAGCATGGGCAGGGCTAGCACTGACCCAGCAGCATTATCACAGAATCACAGAATTTTCAGAGTTGGAAGGGACCTCTAGAGATCACCCAGCCCCACTCCCCTGCTAAAGCAGGACTGCCCAGAGCACATCACTCAGGACTGCATCCAGGCGGGTTTTGAACATCTCCGGAGAAGGGGACTCCACCCCCTCCCTGGGCAGCCTGTGCCACTGCTCTGTCACCCCAACTGTAAAGAAGTTTTTTCGTGTGTTGGAACGGAACTTCCTGTGTTCTAGCTTGTGCCCATTGCCCCTCGTCCTGTCACTGGGAACCACCGAGAAGAGTGTGGCTCCATCCTCCTTCAACCCACCCTTTAGATATTTGTAAGTAGTAATAAGGTCTCCCCTCAGCCTTCTCTTCTCCAGGCTAAAGAGTCCCAGCGCTCTCAGCCTTTCCTCATAAGGGAGATGCTCCAATCCCTCAGTCATCTTGGTTGCCCTTCGCTGGACTCTCTCCAGCATTGTCGGTCCTTTGCTGACGCTGAATTTGTGTACTTCTGCATCGCCTTCCCCGGCAGTGTTTATTCCAGGGAAGGTGATGTTGAAGCTTTAGCACTTGTACGTAAAGCAGCCGCCCTAGGCTTGGAGACCTCAGTGCCTTCTCAGTGCAAAGATGCCTGTGTTGTCAGCCCTGAGCTGGACCTGGCAGGAGTATGGTCTATGCAAACTCAGCACAGATAATTCATAGTCTGGATAAATCTCTTGTGATAGTTGTGAGCTAACTACATGGTGAAATGAAGTGAGGTTGGCACAGTTCAGTTTAGACACTGCATCAGAACACATCCTTACTCTCCTATTGAGAGTGTTTGAGATTTGTAAGTTTTGGGTTGAGTTCATTTTCATTTTTGGAAGCATCCCAGTGGCTCTTTAAAATCATACTCTCTTCTTTCACATTCAGTTTGGTAATCTCATGCTGCTTTTAGCAAATACTATCCATTGACAGTAACTTAAACTACAGTTTAACATTTGTTTTTCACTCTCCTTAATATATTAGTACTTTCTCAGTAATAGGTATTTATAGAATCTTGTGCCACTAACAACACAAACCACATTTTTCACCCCCTTGAATTGTAATTTACTATTCACTTATTCACTATTGCTTGCTTGTTAGCTTGGGCTTAATGCCAAACCTGAACTGGCTTTGTATGTTTTGCTCACTGGTGTGCCTTGTTATCTTTTCTGAAGCTAATTGTAGCTGTTGAACAAGATGAAATTCCAAGACTCAAAGCTCTGTATGAAAGAGGACTGCAGAACAACGTCCCAGGTCTGAAACTGATTGGAGCAAAAGAAATCCAAACGAAAGAACCCTTCTGCAGGGTAAGGGATTTGCTTATTTTTATTGGACGTGTAAGACCTCAGTTTCTCAGGTGCTGTTATTTTTTTAATTTAACATAAATACGTTTCTGGCCTTGGGGTAATTTGCATGGTTGACAAGTTCAAAAGAGCCTGAAAACCCAGAAGAAATAGAATTGTCAACAACAACAAAAAAATCCATTTATTTCTGGAACTTTTTCGCTCAGCCCAATCCTACGTGTGCATTTGCCGTTACATACACATCGGACCAGGTCTAACACAACATAAGGTGATCCTGTAGAATCATTCTTGGTGACATTTTCACCTCGGGTTTCTCCTGCTCGCTTGTTCTCATTCCCGTGCTCATCAGCTCTCTGTGTGCTGAAGTCATAAAGAGCTGCTGCTGCTGCCACTAATTGCAAATGATGTGCGGGCCAGCATTCACAGATTAGAGAGCAGGTAATCCATTTCACTTGCAGCCTACCAAAGGAATCAGAATTATTTGAGTCAAACTAAGAGCCTCTATAGTCGATACGCAGAACTGAATTTATAGGGAAATGGACAGAGCCTCCAAGTTGTTCAGACGTCCTTTTTTACACAGATGTGTTCTCCCTGATGTATATGCTCAGAAACAAAAAAAACAGTCCTCCCATCAATGACAAGGAGTGATTTTTTATTATTTTTTTTAATCTTTCGTTTTTTCCCCTTCTCCTTGCCGGTGCTTGCTTGTATGTTTTTGTGGCTGATAGGCAGATTTTCCTTTGCCAAGGTTAGAGCTGCTATATCTGAGTTTATGCCGAGATGATTCTCCTCCTTCACACTAAAATTATTTGACTTACAGTAAAGCTTGATAGTGCAGCAATGAAAATTCCTTCCCATCTGTAAGTGCAGACTTGGATGGAGCCGCTTTCAATCCGGTTGCTTCCTACACACGATTGTTATGTGGCACTTCTCAGCCTGTTTATTTTCACAGCAGGAGAAATGTGAGTAGTTTATGGAACACAGATTTGTTGTTGTTTAGTATATCTTTGATTGAGAGGAAAATCTGGATATAAATTCCGTACTGTTTCATCTGGCAGCTTGTTATTGGTGTAGCTGCATGACTCATTGCTTATCAGTGGTTGTAGGCATAGACAAAAATTTTCTGATGAGGAATCTTTTTTTCTCATAAACATATTTTATCCGCTCCTTAAAGCATTCTTTGCATGTTCAAGTTCCAGCTGAGCATTTACTTCTGCAAACGAGTAGATTCAGATGGGTCTTATTACAGTTGCTTTGGTTTCCTAAGCTGAGTCCTTTCCTCGTAAGCAAAGGGAACTTGTGTGGTGTTGTAAAACATTGCACTGTATATCAAGTGGAGAGGAAGGTTTTGTGTAAGACACAGTTCTGCCGTTCTGGTTGTCTTGGGCATGTAAATGGCCCCTGCTATTGTAGTATCGGAGTGACTGACAGTCTTTTACTGTAGTTATGCTTGCAGCGTCTCTCTGAGATAAAGCAGTTCTACTATCCTTATTTCATAGCTGGAACTAGGAAAATATTGTGATAATAAAAATTATGTGAGGAACTGAGCCTTTCTGGTATAAAGATAGTAAAACATCTCTGAGAAACATTAAAAATTCTAGCTACACAGTGGACGTGAACCTTGCTTTCTGCTAGGACAAGTATAGGCTGTTGTCTAACTCAGGAGGGACTTTTCTCTCTGATGTGCAGCGCAGTAGTGTAGAGATGGTATGTTTTAGCCTCGCAGGAGGCATTGGCAACAGCTGTGCATCAGGTGGAACTCCCAGGTGACCATTTGAAGGTGGAATTGTATAATGTGTGGTTGAAAATAAGTACATATTAGCTGAAGCCAAGGTTAGGTAACCTGTTTTATCATTAAGCGCTCTGTCAAGAAGACTTGTTTTTGCTATGGTTCCACCATCACTTAACCCACCGTAGGGAGTTTTCGCCATATTAGTTGTCAGCAAACATGAACACGGGAGCTGGCACATGGAGGGACTAGGAACGAGCAGGCAGGGATGAGAAGACAGCGGTACTCCCCTCAACGGCAATGCATATTATTTCAGATGAAATATTCTCTGTATTGAAGACCGAAGTCCACATACAGCCTTCACTGTTCTTCTGTATCTTAATACTGTTTCAGGGTCTGATGGCCCTTGATTCCCCATATACCGGCATTGTGAATTACAAAGAAGTGGCCCAGTCCTATGCTGAAGACTTCCAGGAAGCAGGTGGGACCATCTTGACTGATTTTGAAGTCACAAACATGGAGATGGCTAAAGAAAGTTCTTCAGAAAGTGAAGATGGTAAGGCAGTTTTTTGCCCTCCATTTACTACAGTCCTGCCAAAGATCTTGCTCAAAACACATTGGCTTTAACTCAAACCACGTTTCTGAACCTTTCTGTCTCACAGGGAAGAGACAAAAGGCAAAATTATGTGAGATATCGAGCAAGCTCACTTTTTTTTACTCAGGCAGGTCACCCTTCAGCTGAAACATTTAATGCTGATGGAAGAAAATGACAGTAAAGGAGAGGAAGTACGTTGTTCTCTCCTATTAAGATCAGATTTAGCTGAATATTGCACGTGTATTCTTGTGGTAGTGCTTTTTCTTTACCCTGGAAGGCAGGTTGGATCTGTGCTGGTACACATGGAAGAATGAATTAAAAAAAAAAAAAGAGCCTGTTAATTCCTAAATACAGTTACGTCCAACAATGTCAGTTACATTAATAGTAGTTGCTCCCTAGCTTGGAGATCTTCCAGTGGAAGAACCCTTAATCATGACAAGTTGCCTGTTCTGACAGTTTTCTGTTACATATTCTATTAATTCCTTCTCTTGTCTAATTCTATTACAGGACTGAAATACCCAGTCATTGTTAGGAACTCAAAGGTAAGAACTAAATTGAAGAATTAATTGCTTAATAGAAAGCCATTTCTCCTTTTCTTAAGAACTTTTGTTGAGTCCTGGTGGATTAACCAGTTCTCTAAAAAAAATTAAAAAGCTGCTGTTCAGTAACATGATCGCTGTCATCTAGGAATGCTTTTATAAAACAACTGCAATCAATTCTAAACAAGGAACTTGTTTAGATTTTACTGTGTACTGGGAATAAGAATGAAAGTATAACTTTCTCTTTCTGCTGCCTGACTAATGTTTGACTGTATGTGTCCCTTATCTTCTTTATTTGTACATTCTTATGCTTGCTGTTTCCAGGGGCTCCTTTTATCACTCATTTGATGAGAAACACCTGTTTTCATGTTTGCTTTTGGTCTTTGGCATCTATAAAAATGATAAGGAGGCACCTAGAATCATTTTATCATCAGAAAGCCACAAGCTAATTTAGTAAAGCAGGTGCATATACTGGTGTCATTCCTGCGGGTCAGTTAATGCTGCACAGGAAATTTAGTTGTAACCTTTTCACCTTCAGGAGAGAATATCTGGACTCTTCTTTGGGGTGGGGAGGGAGGACAATAAACAAAACCAACCTCACTCCCCCCCCAGTTGTTTTTAAAGTTAGTGCTGCTGCTTTCTTGTTCTATTTCTGCTCTTTCGTTAAAAAGTAGCTTCCAAAATCTGTTAGATTCTCTCACCAAATACTGGTGCTTTTTAAAAATTTAATTATTTTCATGGAAACACTTTTAGTTGAAGAAAAGGACCATAGTATTTAAAAACAAATACTGTGAGCAATATAGATAGATAGGTAATAGTTTGTGATTTTATTTATTGATTTAGATGGTAAGGTGTTTAGATATTTAACAGCTCTGCGTAACTGTGTGCTATGAACTTGCATAGCTTTCTGGATAAACTACTGTACAGTAGTACGACCGCTTCTGCTGCATGCAGCGAAATCTGTTAACAGCTTTTTTAAACCAAAAGCCTATCAGTTCCTTAGCTACTCCAGCTATCACGCACCCTCTGGCCGTGCAAAGCTGGCCGGAAAGCCGCAGGCTAGCCTGGCGTCACGGCTTGGTAAGGCGCAGAGGCGAGGGAGCGCCAGGGGAGACACCTGATTTGCTGGAGGAGCAGAGTCTTTGACCCCACACGTTGAGGCTCTGCCCCGTACGATAAGCATGCTCGTGTAACGCACGAGGCTCTGTGTTCTGGGAACTGAACCTGAAGGTAGTCTGAGAATCGATGACGTGTTTCTTTTTTTATTCTGTTTTTTTTTCTTCCCCTCCCCACCCCTTTTCTATAAAGATTCTTCCAGTCGTACCTGCCCAATGAATTGCCATTTCAGGATAGTTCTCCTCCAGGGAATACGGGAGAATATTGTAAAGAACTACATGAAATAATTAAATGTTTCTGCCTCCTTTTGCAAATACGGTTGGGTTTTTTTTTCCAAGGCTTGTAGGTGATGGGTGGCTTTTTAGTAGATATGTTGAATTTTTGTGTGTTTTGGTTTGTGTTTGTTTTTTTTTTCCACAGGGTGAGGAAATCTACTGTCGGTACATTGTGACCTGTGCAGGACTTTACTCAGACCGCCTGTCTGAGATCAGTGGCTGCAGTCCTGAACCTCGTATTGTACCCTTCCGTGGAGATTATTTGGTGCTAAAACCAGAAAAGTGCTATATGGTTAAAGGAAATATTTATCCGGTATGTAGTTTCTACTTTGTCTTTCACAGCATGCTCTAAGAACTGCTAAAACTTCAGAAATAAGGGCAGTATTACATGGTTAATTCTGTTAGACTGCAGATAGTGGCGCACAACATATGGACGTAGAGTCAGTTGCTTCTGACAGAACAGCTTGTTTTTGTTAATTCTTGAGGAATAGGTAATTCCTGGGAAATTATTGCCAGTTGGGTTTTTTTGTTTGTGTTTTTGGGGTTTTAATCGGGAAAGAATGAAACATTTAGCATGATAGCCACATGCCGACAAAAGCCTGGCTTCTTTCTTCATGTTATAAAGTAAATCTGTAGGCAGGATACAGAAGTCAATGAGGGACAACAGTAAATAATTAATTACTTAGATGTAGGGTTTAGTCTTGTGTGCTAATACCCAAAGCTCGGATTTAGATATTTGCCTCTCAACCTGTCTTTGAATTTGCTTTACTTTGTACGACAAAATATAGACGTGGGAGGAAAAGGGCAAGCCTTCTACCATCTAATATAGAAAAATGTGTGATGAAGAGGAGCAGTTCCAGACAAAAAGTGAAGTTAGCAAGCAAGAAGAGACAGCTCCTAGGGCGGCATTTTATTTAATTCACGCAGTGTGTTGAAATATCGCCTTTCTGAATACGAACTTAGAATTGCGTGATAAACACTGGAGCAGGTCGCCCTAAGGAAATTGTGGAACTCTGGACATTGGGTGTTTGTCTGACCTCTTCTCACCTGGGAATGATTCAGGATCCTGTCTTGGGATGGGAGGGAGGAACCGGCTGAGATGTAAGGGTGCCTTCCAGCCTCGTTTCATGGCTGTGTGAGGATAGCTGGTACACTTCGAATTTTTTTGTTATGGCCAAATATGGTAATAAGATTAGAAAATTGCACGACTCTTAGTGATACGTTATTGGAAATGTAATGTAGTTTGTGGAGTGGTTGCACTAAACTTCAAAAGTATTAAAGGCATATTTTTAACAGGAAAATCAGTGCACTGAGTACAGAAAATGAACATATCTTAAAGCACTTTTTAGTCATGACAATACTGTTTTTTGAGGAATACCCCATGCTTGCTTATTTTCAGACTATAACACAGTCACCTCTGTAGTCACCTTTTCTAAATAGCTAAAGATCATGAAATGCCAGCTTATGTAGAGTTGTGCTTATTTAATACTTGTATCTGCATATAGCCAGCTTATTTCTGTTTCAGCCTTCGCACACAATTACACTGTAGTCCATTCCCAAACAGAAAAGAAACTGCAGATCCTTATTATTACCATTAATCAGGCTTGCTAACTATATGTTATTTTGAGCAATACAGGCATGGTGAGGTTTTTCCTAATATTTTATAATCTATTTTATTGCAGTATAATTACTACTGGTAAATAGCATTAGTGTGTCATTGGTTTTCTTGTGGGTTGATTTATATCCTGAGAAATCATGTGTACTTTTTTTTTCTGTTGTTTTTCTTTTACCTAAGTTGCAGCCTTACTTGGCCCTGCTCTGTTTTTCAGTGTTTTAAATTAGTTACGTGCTATAACTGCACAATTAACAAGCAGAAAAACCAGCGTAGGAGCCAATTGTACGGTTATATGACTCGAATTTTGTTGTAGTGATTGGAAATAAAATGGCAAACTTACTTCCTTTTTCACTTGTTCATTTAAAAACAGTTATTTCCGTTTGTTGGGAGGACAGCTCCTTTACCGTGTTTCAGTTTGGTTTATTCACTTTCTCACACAATAAACTGTAAATGTTTGTGCTTTCCTCCTGACAAATGTTTTCCATGTTTCCTGGACAAATTTGTTGACTTGAGTGGTTGTGTGGCTGTTTCTCTGATCTGGTTTGTAACAGCTGTAATAACGGTTATATCCCCCTTCAGGTTCCCAATCCTCGGTTCCCTTTTCTGGGATTTCATTTCACACCAAGAATGGATGGCAGTGTTTGGCTTGGTCCTAACGCAGTACTAGCCTTTAAGCGAGAGGGCTACAAATTGTTTGACTTCAGCACTGGAGACTTTTTAGATGCCGTAACATACAGGTAATATCTTGTCTTTTTTGTCTGCTAAATGCAGTTATTTAAATGTCAGCTTGTGACTCCATGGAAGCTAGTTCTTGTCAAAAAAGTGCTTTTGCCAAGTTTTTGGGGTGTTTAAAGACAGTTGTGCTGATAAGGGTGGACTTTGCCAAGACACTTGCCTTCATGTGATCTAATATTTGAATTTTCATAAACTACCAAGACGTGTCTCAGCTGGTCCGAGAATGTGGCTCCTCATCGGACGGTACTGGTGAGCCATGTTGCTACTCGTGGAGCTCTTCCAGGATTGGTTTTGGTCTGATGCAGTGTAATGTTTTAATTAACCTAGACAGTGTGATTAAAATACCTGCAGAGGATGCTTGGAAGAGAGAACACAGAGTGGTCTGAATTGCCGTGTTAAACTTTGTTAGACCATCAATATACATTTAAAAAATGTCCAAATGCAAGGAAATAAGTTAAGGGCCACGAATTCAGGCTGGGAAGCTGTCTTAGAAAGCATGTCAGAGGAATTAGGAATCATTGCTAAAACTGCAAACATAAATGAACAGAATATCTGTAGAAGTCAAGAGAAATTTTGTTTCACTATGAGGGGCTGGACAGACCATTACCAAGTGCTCAATTTTAGAAATTAGACATGAAAAAGAACATGAAAATACTAGGGAGGATCCATGGAGAGGCTGCAAAACAGGTCAGGGAACTGGAAAACAGCTTTCTGGCAAACAGCTCAACTTAATGCAGTTTATTCAAGTAAAGAGTTGAAAGCATCTTAATCATTGTCTATAGATTTTTATACTGGAAGACCTGAGGAAAGCAAAGCAAGCAAACAAGATCTGCAAAGACATAGCAAGATTCAGTGGCTGAAAGCTGAGGAGTTCAGGAGTGTGATGATCTTTTCAGAATGATTGTGGGAAAAAAGTCTCAAGCGGCATGTCTGTCTTCCTTCGTGCGCGTGGGTTTTCAGTCTTTTGCCATTTGACTGGACCAGAGAAAAATCCTGGACATAGGAAGGACTGGAGTTCAGAGTTAATTCTCAAAGAAAGAATGTAAATGCAACGCTACAGTTCTGTAAACAAGGTTTGTTGAAGCAGAGAAGGACAAACATATCTTTCTCAAGTAGAAACCATGACGGATTACTGATGTTGGGAATGGGAACTTTTGCCATACATTTGCTACTTTCTTAGGCAGTGTTAGTTTGACATGGCTGCATTTATTAGGGAAGATTTGTTCCTACTGCAGTTATTTTTCCCTCTACAGTGGGTTATGGAAGCTTGTGCTGAGAAACCTGTCTTATGGAATGAGTGAAATGTACAGAGCGTGTTTCCTTAGCGCACAGGTGAAGCAACTTCAGAAGTTCATCCCTGAGGTCACCATCAATGATGTACTCAGGTAAACAAAATTCTTGTTAGTAACACCCAGTGGCTTGTTAAATCTCTTAACAGTAGCAAACGTAGCATTGGCTTATTCCCTTCCTTCACCAAAATATGCTAGCAAAGCATGGAAACATTTAGATACTTTCTACAGGAAGGCCTTTTATGTTGTGTTTGCTTGTGTATAGGCAAGTTTGATGAGTATTTGTGTGACTTTCTACACTCTCCATAGGCTAAAATTCACAGTTGTGACACATTCACCAAAAAGAAAAAGTCTCTCTATCCTAGCGATACATTCAGTAGCCTGAACATAATCTGAGTTCACAAAGAAAGCAAAACTCTAATGAAATTCAGAGGGGAAGCCAGACTGTGGGTTGCTGGTGATTGAATATTGACTTAGTTTAATCATCTCAATAAAATCGTATTCAGCTTCTTACTGTGTGGTGAGAGAAACTAATTCAAATGAGTTTAGAAATGCCAAGGAACTGAAGAGACTTGTGAGGAAAGATGAGGCGTTTAAGGACCTGGATGTGGGTTTAACTGTCCAACAATTTGCAGCGAGAAAATCTAGAATAAGAAAAGCTCGAGCTTGGCAGAAGGGAGTTATCCAGCTGAGGCAGTATACCATTGGCATGAAATTCGTGTTTGACGAGGCTTGCTGTCTCAAAACAAAGGGTTTCCTTTTTGAAAAGACAGGGCATGTTTGGGTGGGGGGGGAGAGGAGAGTAACTTCACAACCAGGAGAGATACAGAAGATCCTCTGCTTGGCTACCTGCCCTTGTTTTACGGTAATGACTGTGAGACATCTCCCACTCTGCCTCACAAGTGTTAAACTTCCCTGTGCTCCCCGAAAAGCCTGACTGGGCTTTGACTCCACAGTCTGCCTTCCTAACCCTTCCCTGGGTACCTTCACAAGGTTGGAACAGAATTGATTTTCTGACTTCAGAAAACATCTTTCTTTCTAACGGTGAGCTCCTCCTTTATTTTGCAGGGGTCCATCTGGAGTGAGAGCTCAAGCATTGGACAGTGACGGAAATTTGGTAGATGACTTTGTATTCGATGGAGGCAGTGGAGATATTGGAAGCAGAATTCTTCATGTCAGAAATGCCCCTTCTCCTGCTGCTACCTCCTCCCTTGCCATCGCAAAAATGATTGCAGATGAAGTGAAGCAAAGATTTGAATTGTGAATGAATCACGGGTGTAGTGTGGTTTTACCCCTCTTGTATGTGTAGCAGCTTGTCTGCATTGAATGAACTCTGCAGCCTTTAATGACGAAGATAAAACAGGCAATGTGTTGCTTGCAAGAGCAGCGCTGGTAAAGCTGTGCAGCGCGAAACCAGCATTTGAAATGTTTGCCTTTGCCAGCCCACAACTTCTTAGCTTGACAAATAAAGGAGTTACGGTGCCTGGTAAGACCTGCTGCGGTACCGCCATCTGCAAGAAAGAAGCAAACAGCCCCCTTGGCAGTAAAGGTTTGTCCACCTGAGCAGGAACAGCCTGTGGAGGGGCTGGTGCCAGGCACAATGGAGGGTCTCTCCAACCCTAGTGAGCCATGAGGTGGCGCAGGAAGAGCCTCTGTCGGTGGGGTTGCCCACGCGGACTTCCCATGCCTCTGCTCTAAACTTTGCCTGCTCCTCCGGCTTTGGAGACACAGTCGATCCTCTGAAAAACCACAAGCGCTGGGTGGCTCTCTGTGTGCTTTCTCTCTGACTCCATTTAAATTGGAGTCTGCAGTCCTGTAGCTTACATTAAAGTAATGGAGATAGAAGGATAAGCCCTGATTAAGAGTTCTGCTGATACGGAATTAAGGGCTTTATCAGAGACTGAAAACAATATTTGGAGCCTTCAACATGAATGTAGAGTATTTCAGAGAAAAATAAGCCTAACAAGGGATTACCAAATCTGAGTCAATTTAGATACGCAATTCAGATAAGCTGTCTATCTGATTGGTGTCTCTATTTTTTATAGAGCTGAAATTAAAACGTATACATAAACAGTCATTTTTCATTTAACTTAAATCTGGGAAGTCAGCACCAATCAGAAACTACTTCAGTGGTTTGGGTTTTTTTTTCTTTTGAATACTGGTAATGCAAAAGGAGCTTATCTTTGTACAGCCTGTTGAGCAATCCAGTGGAAATGGTCTTTGTAAAAGCAAATGCGAAGGGAGGGAAGCTACAGAAACCTGTCTTTATTGAGTCATGTTGCATACTGCTTCCCTTGGAGCCCAAACAGCAATGAGTCAGGAAGGCTTCCCATTTCCCACATGGCTGGCAAGAGGGGCACTTAGAAAGTGCTGGCTACTTTTCTGAACCCTTATTGATACTTGAAATTTTAGCCAAGGTACACCTGGAAGATAGTCTGTGTGGAGACCGTGCTTTAAACTAGAAAGAGATGTTAAAGAAGTTTGGTACTGAACTAGCCGAGTAGCTTGGTGTGTTCCGCATAATTGCTCCAAAAAGAATTATGTGGCCTGAGGGACAAACTACTTGAGAATACTTTTAAAGCAGATGTTCACAGGATGTTGGGTAATACAGATAATTGTGGGTAGTTTAGTTTGCTACCAGGCAATTTGCCATACTCTTTTTTTTTTTTTTTTTTTTTAAAGTTACTTTCTGTACTCCTCTGACATGCACGAGGGAGTGTGTTAGCATAGGAGGTCAGGTATGCTAGCTGATGTTTTTACTGTATGCAGCTGAGACGCTTTACAGAGAGAAAGGGCTTAATCTGTCTTCTTTTTTTCTTTTCTTTTCTTTTTTTCTTTCCTGGTGACATCTACTTTACCAGAAAAGTGACTCCCGTATAAGGGCAACCGGGAAATTCAAATAATAAGCCCTTCAAAGAAAAGCTTTGGTCGTTATTCTTAGCCACAATGACACTAGACAGAGATTCAGATATTCCAAATGCTAAAATGCCATACGGCTGTGTAAAAGTTGTATCTTCACAATGGAACAATCATATCTTCGCTCCCTGCCAGAAGTGTTGCCTATCAACAGTAAATACTACAAAAGGATTGCAAAAGCAACTTCCTCCCACTCGAGGTGTGGCCCTAACATGTATTAACAGAATAAAGAACGTTAAAATGTAAAGCAGTCATATACCATGGTGAATCTTAAGTCAGCATATTTAATTCTGCAGCCTGCTCTGCTTTTTACTCTCAGGAGGTGATTATTTTGGGGTAGAGTTTACCTGAAACTTTTAAATTTTGAATATTTCTGTAGCATTCTGTGGAATATTTATATTTTTAGAGATAAAGTTATAAACCTTTTTTAAAGCAATAACTTCAGGGAATTACGACAATGGGGTTTCATACATAAGTCTTGTTGCCCATTAAGTGTGAAAATGTATGAATATATTTTCTGAAAGGGTCTAATTCACTTGGATGGCTTAATAACTATGCCTTTCTCTATTGTTATTAAAATAGCGTGGTGGGTTTTTTTTAATTGCTGTAAGGTCTGTGTATTTCTCCCGACTTACAAAAAATTTTACTGTAGCATTCTGTGGAATATTTATATTTTTAGAGATAAAGTTATAAACCTTTTTTAAAGCAATAACTTCAGGGAATTACGACAATGGGGTTTCATACATAAGTCTTGTTGCCCATTAAGTGTGAAAATGTATGAATATATTTTCTGAAAGGGTCTAATTCACTTGGATGGCTTAATAACTATGCCTTTCTCTATTGTTATTAAAATAGCGTGGTGGGGTTTTTTTTAATTGCTGTAAGGTCTGTGTATTTCTCCCGACTTACAGAAAAGTTTCACTGCTATTTGCTAATTCTCATCTGAATTAGGCAGGATATAGCTCTATATAATAGGAATTACTGTATAGAGGGGGATGACAACACATGACCAAATTTGTCTTCCTAAAGTACCTGTATCTTACCTCTGCTTGTCACACTTCACAGCTTTTTCTCACCCGGGTATGTCTGCAGCGGACAGAACCAGTCTTAAGCCCCATCTGGACCTGTAATAGCATGTGGAATGGTAGTTCTTGACATTCTGAATAGATGCATTAGGACAGCTTTGGACGAACACAGTTTATTTCCCCCAAAGCGTCCCATAAGGTCACTCCTAAACTCTGGGAAGAGTATGGCATATTGTGGAGCGAAGTGAGGATGTAGTGCCGTGTGTCATGGCTTACTGGATGGCTGCTCTTGGGAAAACGAGCTCCTTTAGGACAGGTGGGTGCGTCCGGTCACCTTGGAGCAGCTCGGGCTGGCTGGCGAAGAGCGGGATGTCGCGTCCTGAGGAACGTGGGCGTTTGGGGACTGCAGAGGTGGGGACGTGGCGCCAGGTGAGGGGCTCGGCCCAGCTGGGACATCGGCTTCCAGCAAACTGCCCCGACCGCAGCTTCGCCCATCGCACCGCCCTTACTCTGGAGTTGCACTCGGCATTACCTTTTTCTTTTTCCTCACGGTTCGGGTTTGAGGAACAATTTCCCACAGAAATAAGTTATTTTGTTGGGAACCCCCCCAGGCCACGCTGGCGCGGCAGGAGCTGTCAGGGCCTC